AACCCTGAAATTTTCCATACACTAAAAATGACAAATGATATTTGGAGAAGTGAGATACTTTCCAAATCTGATCTATGTAATCATCTATGCACAGGATGATGCTATAATTTCTAATGTCCACTTCTACTGGTAGAGATTTTAAAACAAAATCTATCAAGAACAGTTTTAAAATCTCACTGGATAAATATCCTTTCAAAATGATGCACATCCTGGAGTACCTAAACAGTCAGGTATCTTCTGAAAACGGGTGAGGTGATATTTTAATGTGAATCTATTTATTCTCAAATGTTTCAATCTTGAGCCTAGTATTCTCTATTAAATTAGATGGCTATGCCCAACCTGTCATTTCATGTTTGATTATATTAACTAAAGTCTATTTAGGAAATATTAGCAAACTACTTTGGTTGATTTTGTAGTCCCCAGCTCTATTGTCAAATTGCAGTGTCTAAGGTTGTAGACCAGACTTGCAATTAAACCATGAAATCTGCAGATTTACTCAAGAGGAACAATTAACACCAGGCAGTGAAACATTATTTCCCACAGTTTCCAGACTCTCTTTTCCTCAGTATCATATAAGGTGAGCAGCTGTTTCAAGCAACTGCAGAAACTACATACATTTAGATATGCCTGTGGTTGTTGTTCTTAGGAGCAGTCGAGTTGGTCCCAACTCATAGTGACCCTATGTACAACAGAATGGAACACTGCCCCGTCCTGTGCCATCCTCATAATTGTTAAGCTTGAGACCAAAACAAATTTGGTATGCGATAGAATTAAATTGAAGCATAGCTGTATCTGTTCATCAGGCTTTAAGAAAACATTGCAAACTATACAGAACCATTTCAATGAGAAAAAATGATATATATGACAAAAGGCAAAATCTTATTTTTAAAGTCTGAGTTAACAGAATTCATTCATTTTATTGATATCTTACTATGAATTAGACACTGTTCTGGGTGTTTGGGATGTATCAGTAAACAAAGACTCCTGTCCTTGTGGAGTCTACATCGTAATGATGGAAGACCGGAAACTATATAAATAATTCGTAAGCATGTTAGAAGAGGATAGTGCTAAGAAAAAAAGAGAAAGTAGAGTAGGGAAAGGAGAACTGAGTGTTTGATAGTGGGGTTACAATTTTACATGGGGTGGTCAGGATCTTCTGATTTAATATATGTTTTAATATTATTTGACTAAAATGCTTAGATTTCAAGTTACTAAAATCCTATTATTTTGCTCATGTAAAATCATACTAGTTTAGGTAAAACAAGGCAGCTGAGTGCCATACTGGTAAGAGATATGTCTATTAATTGTCCTAAATCTGATATTTTCCTGGCAAATCTGAAAATTGCCTCAGTTGTACAACTTGGGAATCTGTTCAAAATTAACACCAAGACTTAGAAGATGTTCTATGACTGAATTTCTGGAATTTGCTGTAACATATTGAGCCATTTACTTTCTCTTCAGGAGCCCTCGTGG